TGTGATCCACCTGATGGGTCTAGTAAACAAACCGTGAACGTGCATTAATCCTAAACCATTTACAGCTGGCTTGAATGAGCCGCCTTAATTGAACGTGGCTTGGTGTTCGTGCAACTGTTTACRGCTGTTTTCAAGTTGAAGGCTAGTTCAAGCTCGGCTTACAGCTCATATCCTGAATTTCGAAATCTGACTTTTGTGCAACAGGCCTCAGGTTTCTTGAGGGGTTAGCAAACAAAAAGCAATGAAAAGATTGTGTACAAACGAGTTTACAGATATTGAAGTGGATATTGCTAATAGCATGTGCAGCTGTCATCAAGGGATGCTCTGTTTTTAAATGATGCAAAAGGAACAAAAAAGTAAATCACATTGATTTCTGTAGATGATTCCAGTCCTTTGCTGCAGAGAATTGGAAGGATGATCATCCAAAAGTGTGCATGTTTTAGGTACAGAGATTAATGTAGCTGTTGGAGTGGAGGGTACGAGCATTACTGTGGATATTGAGTAACGAGCGGAGGTAATATGGGGTTTTACCAATCAGGGTTTTATATAAACTATAGATGGATTAGATATAAGATTATAATATACAGGGATTAGACAATGAAAGTGAAACACCTGGTTTTAGACCATAACATCCCTTTTAGACAGCTTCCTCTTGTGTCCACAGTTAATCCTGTTGGATGTGGTTGGTCCTTCTTGGAGGTATGCTGACATTACCCTGGTTACTGTGGCTCTTGATACATCACAAAGACTTGCTGTCTTGGTCACAGATGCACCAGCAAGACGTGCACCAACAATTTGTCCTCTTTTGAATTCTGGTATATCACCCATAATGTTGTGTGCATTGCAATATTTTGAGCAAAACTGTGCTCTTACCCTGTTAATTGAACCTTCACACTCTACTCTTACTGGTGCAATGTGCGGTTAATGAAGTTTGGCCACCAGGCTGGTCCAATTTAGCCATGAAACCTCCCACACTGAAATGACAGGTGTTTCAGTTTCATTGTCTAACCCCTGTATATATAGATTGTAAGACCAATTTAACAGGGATTTCTTGCATGACGATCCAGAATGACTCTTTGTAAATAAAATCCGGATTTGTTATATTCTGCATCATCTGTTTAAATCAGTTTAAAACTACTTATTAAAGTATAATCCTAAACTGTCTCTTGACTGGTTCATGTCCTACCTTTCTAAAAGGACTGAACATGTTGCCTTAGGAGGAGCCAAGTCAAAGACTCACAGACTCACTTGTGGGGTTCCTCAGAGGTCCTTCATTGGTCCTACTATCTTCACACTATCCCAAATCTGCCACCAAGGAATATCCTTCTGTTGCTATGCTGATGACAATCAGCTTCATATAAAAATGGACATTCACCCATCTGCTTCTTCCTCTACAGTCTCCTCATCATTACTCTCCATACTCACCATCTGTCTAGAGGAGATGCAAAATAACTTTCTCCAAATAAACATCTCCAAAACTGAGGCTACGTTGATCGGCACTCCTCGTCAGGTTCAGTCCATCAGATTTCCTTTAGTATTACCTTTTCTGGACAGGACAGGACTGGACAGTTTGGCCCATATAGGTTTAGGGTGGCTGTGGTACACGTCAAGGTAGAGCAGCTGGCTTGGGACCCGAAAGTCACAGGTTCAACTCCCTGCCATGCCCACATGTTGTGGTGTCCTTGAGCAAGACACTCAACTTCCAACTGCTCTCCGGGTGCTTACATAGCTGCCCATTGCTCCACTTGGGTCTTTCTCATGTGTGATGGGTCAAATGCAGAACACAAATTTTGTCGTTGCATGGGAACATGCATTGATGACCAACGTGAATCCCATCCTATCCTATATAGAACACATGTGCAAAACCTCCTTTAATTTCATCAAAATACTGTCCATTGCTAGTCTTATTCCATCACTTTGGACACTCAAAAACTTCCCTTTGAATTTTCAAAATTGGAGTATCGCAAATTTTATTCTTTCTGGCATCTGAAATAAAAACCTTCAAAAACTCCAGTTCATCCAAAACAGTGCCACCAGACTTCTGAAAAAAAAATCACTTCACACCTACATTTACTTCATTGGCTTACAGTCCCTGTCAGAATCCAATACAAGCTCTGTCTTCTAACACACCTATGCATAAATGGCATTGCCCCCATCTACCTGTAAGTCCACGGCTCTGAGCTGTCGCTTATGCCATGCAACGAGGCTCTGGCTGAGGCAGCACATTTCAAAAGCCGAGACCTGCAGCCTTTTGCACCTAGATTTTCCTGAATTTTTTTTAGCTGGAGGGTTAAGAGGGACTGGGTATCACAGAGGTCAGCAGAAGGATGGGGATGAGGCATTTTGCCAAAGAAGGGAAGTCTGTGGATGTGTGTCTATATGTCTTATATTGTGTAAACATATTTTGACACTATATTCTACTTATGAGGACATTTTGTCATTATGTGGACATTTATGTACCTAGTCCACACAATGGAAAAACCCCATGTGAAGGTCAGGGGTTAAGTTTAGGTCTAAGGTATGAGTTAAATTTAGGGTAGGGTTAGGTATGTGCCTGTTAGGTTAGGCTTAGGGTAAGGGATTAGGATTAGACTATAGAAATTAATTGAAACAATCCTTGATTTGGTCTTCAGATTTCAGGCTTCAACGGAGGTCAGAGGTACAGTAGATGATACTGTGCTCAGGGGAACAATCAGGATCCAGAGGTGTGTGGAGCAGGCAGGTGCAGAGTCTGAGTATTTGACTGTCTTACAGAATTTGACTTCAGAGTGACAGGAGGATCCAGGGAACAGACAGGAGAACCAAGGAACCAGAGAACTTGAAGCAGAATGACAATTGATAATTAGTCACGGTTGCTGCTCTGTGCCCCATCAGGAAACTAGAGTTAAGTAGAGTTGAGCTGATGAGAATCACTTGTTGGTGATGAGCACCGGGAAGCATTTGCATATAACATAATGTTCAGCAGATGGAGACAGAACCACAGGTACCGACTGGAAAATTACTTGCAGCCCTTAAAGCGGACATATGCAATATTCACTTTTTAGCCATTAAATACATTTTGTCGTGTACATGGAGTCAAGAGAAGTGCAGGAAAGTTGAATTTAGTCGATCCCAGTGCTGCAYAGAAATCTTTATATTTTGTTTGGGTCGTAGTTTTCAGCCCTTTCAGTTTTCTCTTTTTCCTATGACGTCTGAACTATTACATCAAACTATTTGCAACAGAATTGCTAAATAAGGTCTGGATTTACCATTTACAATTTTTAAATCTCCTCTGGCTCCAACATGTAAGGTTGGATGAACAAATCTGCCTTTGTTGACATCTTTTAATTCGTTTGTAAATAAAAAGTTTTTGTGCTGCTAAATAGTTTCTCCTATCCTGTACAATGCTCCTGTAAAGTCTCTGCTATCAAACTATAATGTGGAAGCTGAAGGGAAGAAACCCCCTAACCGTATATCGCCATTTGTATCATATTTGCTACGCAGGATTCTGTGACCTATATTTTATCAATGTGATCAATTTTTTTCCTCAAAAACCTGTTGTACATCATTTGAGACCTGTATTCTGCCCTCTGGTGGATTATCAATGTACTGCAGGAAGTGGAACTTCTGTTTTTTTTTTATTTTGTATTTTTGCCTTTTCAAAGTGTCTTCTGACTTGAGGTCATCCACACGATTTTTTCAGGAAAACTTTTGCTAATTTTGGAGAAATTAGAGTCTTTTTTCTGCTTCGGCTGAAAAATTGGGGGTGGGGAGAGGGACGACAGAGGGCGCAGATATTGGAAGTGGGGGGGGGAGACGTCCCACCCAGTGCCTATGGCGGTTGCGCCCATGCTAACATTCCTCCTTTCCTTCTAAATTCAAATTCAGTTTTTTTATATAGTGCCAAGTCACAGCATACGTTGTCTCAGGGCACTGTACATAAAAAGAACAATCTAAAGAAGAAGCCAGCAGGCTGCGTTGAATCACTTCATCACTTTACCAAATCCTTGGACTCCAAAGTGATTCACACTATAGTGATTGTTGTAGTCTAGAAGTCATCATGCTCTTTGAAGGTATTTCTGTATTAGCATGTTAAACCTGTTTTGTTATCTGTTGCTTTGTGTGTTTTTGCAAAAACAAGCAGACTGCTGTGACGGCCCTGCTGCTAAGTTAATTGCAGCCAGCTGCCGCCTATTTCCCTAATTGTGCTTCCTCACCAGGTCATCCTTAAGGAGTGTGGCCTGTACCTATTTGAAGCGCGCACCTGGAGTGCTGAGTAGCGCTGTGTGGCTGGCGAGTGCTCTGAGGTTCATCGCTCAGCGGCTTGTGATCGCTCTGTGGCTGTTGGTGGTTGGTGCTGTCGGTCTACTGCTGCTGCTCTCATTCGGCGTGCCTCACGCACATCGACCTCGTTTGCTGACGACGTGGGGGATATTGGCACATTCACGTTAACGTTACTGAACACGACCACTTCACTGGGCGCTGGTGCCCAGACCTGCTGCTTCCTCTCTGCTGCCGGGAGAGGAGCGACATCCTGCTGACGTGCGGATGCCGAGTCGGGGTTTTCAGAGCTAGAGAGAGGACACTGAAACGCAGAGGTGCACGGAGGACACGACGGTGGTCGAGGGAACCAGACCACAGACTTGCGCATAACAGGTGGAACGTAAACCTGGACCACAGACTTCAGAGGGTCCAGCTTGGTGAGAAACGTCCAGCGCATTCGGGAGCTACGGAGCACCAAACCGGACCAACAAACTCACCTAATCCTAGACAAAACTTTAATAAATACCTTTTTTAAGGTTTTAAAACTAGCTCTTGAGCCGGGTCGTAACATATACGGGGGCTCGTCCAGTCCTAAATAAAATACGTATGTGAGCTCGTTCGTATAAGCTAACATATACATGGGGGCTCGTCCGTTCCTAAATAATATAGGGRGCTCGTTCGTATTGGCTAACATATATGGGTCCAGTCATAAAAATATTTGTACTCTTACTCATAATAAACATGTCTCATTCATTGCTTAAAGTCCATAAGATAACGTATATGTGTGCTCCTTCTAAGCTAAATTGTGTGGTGAACTTATTTAAGTTGACTGTTTTTCTACCGACTTTACTGAAAACTAACGTGTTTTCTTTTTCATGTACTGTCCCTACGCCAATGTTGTTTGGGATGTGGTTCGTCTGTTTTGCCGACGCCATCTTGGGTAGAGCGCCATCTTGTCAGACAACATCAACACGCTGTTTACTCAAGACAGTTTGGGTGTTTTGTTGGGTGAGTTACTTTTTCTTATACTTGGTGACTGTTAAGTGTAACATTGTCTCCTGTTAGGCACAGTGGTGTTTGCTGCTTCATGCTGCACCATTTTTGTTTTACTAGTGTCGTGGCGAGTGGTTAGTGTTTGCTCACAGCATTCTCGGGAGCATTCCAGAGGATTTTTCCTTAAAGGAAATCTTTATGGTTTTGTGCTTAATCTGCCCACCACAGACCCACGTGAAGAGTGAGGTTAAATTATAGAGGGAAAGTTGTGCAAATAAATAAAAATAAAACTTGTTCAACATGGAGTTCAGTTTAGATGACTTTWTAGCAGATCCATGTGTGGATAAACTTTATGAATGTAGAAAAAATGATTTAATAGCTATTGCCACACATTTTGCAATTCCCATATCAAAACAAGACAAAAGAAATCATTAAAAACAAGGTTTTTCGTCTTTGGTGGAACAAGAGAATTTCTCCAGCCGAAACAGTGTGTGAGAGTAAAGTAATGTCTGATGTCAGAAGTGCATAAACTCAAGTTACAGCACAAGCTGAAACTGAAAATGAACTGAAAGAGGCAGAGTTAAAAGTTAAAAAAGAGTTACGGCTTAAAGAGGCTGAGTTAAAGTATGAACAGGAAAAATTACAGTTTTCAGGTGCGTAAATTAGAGTTGGAAAAGGCTGATAGAAGTGATCCAACACAGGCTTCTGTTCAAAGTGACAGTTCAACTACTCCAGTGTTTGATGTAAATAAATGCATTCGTTTGATTCCGCCTTTCAAAGAATTGGATGTTGACAAATATTTTGTACTGTTTGAAAGAGTGGCAACCACTTTGGGTTGGCCTAAAGATGTCTGGACTTTGTTACTGCAATGTGTATTTACTGGTAAAGCCCAGGAAGCATATGCATCTTTATCAGCTAATGACAGTTTGGATTATGATAAAGTTAAAAAAGCTGTAGAGAAAGCATATGAACTTGTCCCAGAAGCTTACAGACAAAAGTTTCGTGGTTTGAGAAAAACAGAAAATCRGAGTTATGCAGAGTTTGGTCACAGCATTTCCACATCATTTGATCGTTGGTGTACATCACAAAAAGTAACTGCTTTTGACGAATTGCGTCTGTTGGTTTTGTTGGAGCAGTTTAAAAACTGTCTTCCAGATAACAACTTATCTCAATGAACAAAAGGTGACAAAGTTGTGTGATGCAGGTGTTTTGGCTGATAATTTTGTGTTGACACAAAGATTATTTTGGCAAACAAGAACATAGACCAAGTAGTCAAAATGTACACAAAGACAAGTGGTCATTTAATGGTGAAAAACGTTCTGAACAAAAACATGTTCAGAAAGTTTTGTTCAACGTAGTGACAGGTTTTGCACTCACTGTAATAAATGTAGTCACATCAGATCAGACTGTTTTCTACTTCAACGACAAGCTAAATCTACAGGTTACAAACCGAARGCAGTTGGTTTGGCAGCTCCGGTTGAAAAAGTGTTCAAGGAGAATAAGATAGTTGAATCTTCTGATATCAGTGTGCCCTATTTGCCATTCATTCGAGATGGATGTGTTTCTTTACAGGGTGGTAAAGACAAGGTTCAAGTTAAGATATTGAGAGACACAGGTGCTTTTGACTCRTTTATTCAAGCTGATGTTTTGCAGTGGACGAAAGACTCTGACACAGGTACATGTGTTCCTATMAGAGGAATGGGTATGAACATACTGTCAGTTCCATTACATAAAGTGCAGTTAGAGTGTGAACTATTTACTGGAGAAGCATTACTTGCTGTACGTCCAGCCTAGCCTATGGAAGGTATTTCAATCATCTTAGGTAATGGTTTGGTGGGTGATCGTATGTGGTCAGAAAAAACTCAAAATACTGAATCAGTTCAAGAAATAACTACAACAGAACCACAGGTGATTTATCAAACTGATGAAAATGAAAGAGTTTCCTGAGGTGTTTGTTGCTTGTGCAGTGACGCTCTATGTCAAAACAAAAAGAACAAGAACAGAAGGAAAGATCAATGAAAGTACCTTTGCCTTTGTCTAACTTTCCTATGTTTGTTTCTCGCAGTGAACTYGCAGCGGAACAAAAGGCAGATACTACTTTGAAAACACTGCTTGACAACGTCCGTCCTTACTCTGAGTTGATCGAGTGTTCATGGTTTGTTCATGCAAGAAGGTTTATTGGTGAGAAAATGGGTACCACATTTAGAGATGTTGGGTAGTCCAATTTTTCAGATTGATGTGCCACATAAATACAGAACAGCCATTTTAAAAACGGCTCATGATGAATCTGGTCATTCTGGAGTGAAAAAAACGTACGACAGTGTTGCGACATTTCTTCTGGCCTCGTCTTAAACGAGATGTATCTGGTTACATTAAAACATGTCATGTTTGTCAGTTAACCTCCAAACCCAATCAAACTTTGAAACTGGTTCTGTTGGCTCCGATCGAAGCAAAATCAGAACCATTTGGCCATCTGGTGGTAGATTGTATTGGGCCTTTGCCTAAATCAAAGTCAGGTTCAGCTTATTTGCTTACAGTTAAGTGTCAGACTACATGTTATCCAGCAGCGTATCCATTACGTTCAATCACAGCAAAATCGGTTGTCAGAGCATTAACTCAGTTCTTTTCAGTCTTTGGTATCCCAAAAGTTGTACAGTCTGACCAAGGTACTAATTTTACATCTAACTTGTTCAACCAAGCATTAAAGCAGTTACGAGTACAGCATGTTAAAGCTTATCATCCGGAAAGCCAAGGTGTGTTGGAAAGGTTCCATCAGTCACTTAAATCATTGCTACGTGCTTATTGTTCAGAGTTAGGTCRTGACTGGGAGGAAGGTTTGCCATGGTTGATGTTAGCTGCCAGAGAGGTAGTGCAAGAAAGCACAGGGTTTAGCCCTAAGGAGTTAGTCTTTGCACATAAAGTGAAAGGACGTTTAGCTGCGGTGGCAAGTGATTTATTGCAGTCTGATCCTCCAGCTAATATGGTGGATTATGTAAATGGTTTTCGTAAGTGTCTGTACACAGCCAGAGAGTTGGTAAAAGACAAGTTAACAGCTTCTCAATCTAAAATGAAAGTTCTGTTTGACCGAAAGTCTGAGGACAGATCATTCTTACCTGGTGATCAAGTCTTGGTTTTGAGTACGGTTATCACATCTCCTTTTCAAGCTAAGTTTACTGGTCCGTACACTATCCTTGAGAAACTGACAGAACAGAACTACCTAGTTTCAATGCCAGAGCGGAGAAATAAACAGCAAGTGTGTCATGTCAACTTACTGAAAGTATTTCAAACGTGATCCTGAATTACAAGATCCTGTTGATACTTTGCTGAGTCCAGTTGGTGCCTCAGTAGTTTAATCTGTCTGAAACAGTTCAAGTTAATACCGAACATGAAGGTTTTCCTAGGTGGTAAACTTAAAAATTCAGAAGCATTACGGAATCTGAATGATTTACTACAACACTTATCTAAAGATCGTGCAGACGAGTTAAGTTCCTTAATTAATGAATATTTGTGTTTGTTTTCAGATACGCCAAGTCAGACGCATCTCATAGAGCATGACATACTGTAGACTTGGAATACACAAAGCCTGTAAGACAGAGGTTTTACWGAGTCAATCATGACAAAAAGAAGTGTTTGGTCAAAGAGGTTGCTTATCTCCTGAACACTGGTATGGCTAAACCAAGTCATTCTGGTTGGTCATCACCGTGTATTTTGGTCCCGAAATCTGATGACACTTTTCGTTTTTGTACGGACTACCGGAAACTTAACTCGGTCAYGAAAACAGATAGTTTCCCTTTACCTCGAATGGATGATTGCATTGATCAGGTCGGCTCAGCTACTTTTGTTAGCAAATTCGATCTGTTAAAGGGTTATTGGCAGGTACCTTTGACAAAGCGTGCATCGGAGGTGTCGTCYTTCATAACACCTTCTGGCTTGTATCAATTTACAGTGATGCCGTTCAGATTGAAGAACGCGCCTGCAACCTTTCAACGTCTGATCTTGGTGATTGGTGACATGCCTGGCTGTGCGGTATATCTCGAYGATGTTGTGGTCTACTCAGACACATGGGAGCAACATCTCCAGCGCATCACAGAGAGCTATTCCAGAGGTTGGCAACAGCGAGACTCACTGTGAACCTGTCTAAGTGCGACTTTGGTAAGGCTACAGTCACTTACCTGGGCCATGTGGTCGGACAGGGTAACATCTGTCCTGTAGCGGCCAAGGTGGAAGCTATTCAGAAGTTCCCTGTTCCCCAGACGAAGAAGGAGCTAATGCGCTTTCTTGGTCTGGTGGGACATTGCAGAGGTTTCTGTAGGAATTTCTTCATCATTGTGGCTCCACTAACAAATCTGCTTCGCAAACAGGTCAAGTGCGAGTGGTGTCAGACATGCCAGACAGCCTTCGAAAAAGTCAAAAGTCTCCTGTGCGTGTCCCAAGTTTTGGCAGCACCGTGTTTCACCAGGCCCTTTACACTGTATATTGATGCCAGTCAGGTGGGCACAAGTGCCATGCTGACACAAAGAGATGAGCTGGGAATTGGCAGGCCAGTCTCATATTTTTCTAAGAAGTTCAATAAACAACAACTGAATTACTCAGTTGTAAAAAAGAAACGCTGGCCTTGATCCTTGCTCTCTCCCATTTCGACGTTTACTTGAGTGGTGGGAACAAAGTGGTAGTCTACACAGACCACAACCCACTCACTTTCTTAGCTTCTTTAAAATGTCCCAACCAGCGACTCATACGCTGGTCGTTGTTCCTTCAGTCGTATAACTTGGACATTAAGTGTATTAAAGGAAAGGACAACATTGTGGCTGATGCATTGTCACGCGCACCAGTCTTGTAAATAGGGTTTAAACTGGGGGAAGAAAAAAAAATGGGATTTTGGGTTGCCATTCACTTGTGGTGTTTTTGTTAATTGCTTTGCTTTTCTTGTTTTCCAGTTAGTTTCTGAGTGCACCAGTTGCTGACGATGGGACAAGTTTGGGACTGCGGTGACATTGACACATGGGTGATGGTGTTTTTTTTTTTGTTGTTTTTTGTTTTTGTAGATAGTTTTTCTAGTTTGTGGTTTAGCGCAGGGTTCAAGATGGAACCAGCTTTTTTATGGTGGGGGGTGTGATGGCCCTGCTGCTAAGTTAATTGCAGCCAGCTGCCGCCTATTTCCCTTATTGTGCTTCCTCACCAGGTCATCCTTAAGGGGTGTGGCCTGTACCTATTTGAAGCGTGCACATGGAGTGCTGAGTAGCGCTCTGTGGCTGGCGAGGGCTCTGAGGTACATCGCTCAGCGGCTTGTGATCGCTCTGTGGCTGATGGTGGTTGGTGCTGTCGGTCTACTGCTGCTGCTCTCATTCGGCGTGCCTCACGCACATCGACCTCGTTTGCTGACGACGTGGGGGATATTGGCACATTCAAGTTAAAGTTGCCAAATACGACCACTTCACTGGGCGCTGGTGCTCAGACCGGCTGCTTCCTCTCTGCTGCCGGGAGAGGAGCGACATCCTGCTGACGTGCGGATGCCGAGTTGGGGTTTTCGGAGCTAGAGAGAGGACACTGAAATGCGGAGGTGCACGGAGGAGACGACAGTGGTCGAGGAAACCAGACCACAGACTTGCTCGGAAAAGATGGAACTAAAAACTGGACCACGGACTTCAGACGGTCCAGCTTGGTGAGAAACATCCGGTGCATTCGGGAGCTAAGGAGCACCAAACCGGACCAACAAACTCACCTAATCCTAGACAAAACTTTAATAAATACCTTTTAAGGTTTTAAAACTGGTTCCACTGTGTCGTGCCTTCACATATGTTATGGCTCTTGAGCCGGATTGTAACACTGCGCCTGGAAGGGAAGCGAGTCTTATGCATCAGAAACATTCTATAATTCTTACACCGCTGTTTCAATTACACAAGATGTTTTCAGTTTCACATGCAAATTGCTTGTTTTCCACTCGCATGAGAGTGATCAGCCAAGAGCTGAAAACTCCAGATTGCCCCTGTAATTAAAACTTGTTCTGTAACTTGTTATTCCTGATTCCACTCCCTGCTTGCTGACAATAAAAAGACAAGGCTTTGCACACAGGACCTTAGAATTAGTGAGAACTGGCAGAAACAGCTCAGTGCTCATGACTTCTTTTGCAAAAGTAACGTCAGAAAACTCATACCTTTGTCTCTGGTTCTCTTTTATTTAAGGTTTATCATCTGATTAACCCTGACAGTCATTCACACTGATGGTGGTAAGCTGCAATGTGGCCACAGCTGCCCTGGGGTACACTGAGAGGTGAGGCTAACAAACACTGGCACCASCAGGCCATCTGACCACCACCAGCAGGCAAGGCGAGTGACTTACCCAAGGACACAACGACCGAGATGGATGGAACGGGGGATTGAACTGTCAACCCACCAGTTACAGGTCGACTCCCCAWATTTCTCAAAGCCCAAATGCTGTTTTGGTTGATGGTTAGGTTTGATGGACAAATACTTTATTTGTCACCATAAGGAAGTTGATTTGTAGTATAAAAAACTTGTATAGGTGTATCTCAGGCATAGCCTTGCATGAGCACTCATCTACAACACAAAATAAATCACAAGTACATACAAACCAACAGTGCATTCCTTCAAATACACTACATACTGTACATGTCAGATATCTAGGAGTTTACCAGCTTGTGGAACAAGGGTTAGCTAAGCTGCTATTAGAGCTCACCAAGGGCCACAATTGGCTTGGTAGTGTACCGAAGCAGTCAACCAATTGGAGAGAGACAACAGTGTTACTTTTAAATGGGTACCAGGACATACTGCCGTTTATGGTAACAAGAGAGCTGACTACCTTGCAAAAGCTGGCAGTCAGACTCACTTCAAAGGACCAGAGCTCAATGTAGGTATCACAGCTACAGTCTGTAGGACTGCCCTACAGGCCCGGATTAGACATCAACACTCAATCCATTGGAGGGAGCTGATGGACTGTAGACAGGCATGGGAACTGGTAAATGCCTCAAATCTTATTTGGGAAAGCTCTCGTTGCCCTGACAAGGAAAACTTGAAGTACAGTGGTTGGAGTCCTAACTGGGTACAACCTTCTTAACTGCCACAAAATGGTGATAGGACTCCATGACACCGGTGTGTGTGATGTCTGTGGCATTGACTTAGAGACCTTTTTGGACTACTTAAGCCCCCTCTCCATTGGCACACCTGCATGTGGTTGCCTGTGGTTCAACGTCGGCCAAATGTGTCTCCATTTCCGGTTCCAATTGTGCTTTCAGACAGAAACGAGTAGAACCTAGTACTACAAGCTTACAGTTTTGATGTTAACAGACTTCTGCTCGTAGATTGGCTGAGCCAAGGCAGATAATGTAAAATTAGCAGACATCCCCGGAGGTTTCAGACAAAATGACCACTGTAGGAGTGAGCTTAAGGTGAATTAAGCTTTTCCCATATCTCTCATACACAAGGTTATGAGGAAAACTTTTACCAAGGTATATCTCATTACTCATTAATATCTTGACTGTGCGAAGTGAAAATTGACACAAGTGGAACGCTCAGACGAGTTCAATTTGATTCATAATGACTGCAATCATTTACAGCGGGTAAAATAAGTATTGAACACTTCAACATTTTTCTCAGTAAATATATTACTAGAGGTGCTAATGACATGAAATTTCTGCCAGTTGTCGGTAACAACCCAATGATTCAAACATACAAAGAAATCAAACCATAAATGTCCAGAAATGAAGTTATTTGAAATAATGTGGAATGGCACAGGGAAAAAGTATTGAACACACTTACTGAAATTTATCAAATACTTTGTACAAAAGCCTTTGTTGTCAATGACAGCTTCAAGATGCCTCCTGTATGGAGAAACTAGTGGCATGCATTGCTCAGGTGTGATTTTGGCCCATTCTTCTCATGAATCACGTCTGTCCTGCTCCCACACCACGTCATAGTTTCTCAC